CACATGGCCACTGTTTTAAAGTAACAACTGTTGATTCCAGGTGGAGAGTCTAAGTGTGTCTGCTGTACTATATTCTTTCAACGTTTCCATGTGAAATTGTCATCATAAAAATGGAAGCGAGACAGCAGAGACAGATGTTGGAGTGTCAGGCAGGAGCAGGATGGCGTTTCCATCTAAGGAAGAGATTTTAAGCCTAGGGGAGGCGTGATCTGGTTACCTTTGGCATCATTGCCTCAACTGCCCTGGATTTCCAAGTCTGGCTCTGCAAACCATGAAGGAGTATGTCTCTCAGGGGCGCATGACAGCATGTTTCCAATTCTGATTTAGTGAACACTCACGGTGTACCTTCCAGCCAGGCATGATGTGTGTGTTTTACCTTCATTAATCTCAATCCACACGACAGCCTGCAATATCCTTGATATTATCCTTGTTCTTAATGAGGAAACTGAGGCCGTGAAGATCAGCCAAGGAGGGGCCGGACAGTGGAGGCAGAGCCTAGGTTCCTTAGAAACCTCCACCCTGGGGGAGCACTAAGTCATCATTCCACTTTTACTAAATCATCGTCAACATTCATCATAATTGATTAATTAATTATGATCAAAGCTTGAAGGTGATTTTTCTGGAATACGATTGCAAAACTAGACACACTGTTCCAGAGAGAGCCCTAAAGTGAAATGCACTAATGGTCAAATGGACCCTGCTTTTCCCCTTGAGAAAACTATCGTCCAGCAGAGTTCCACGCACTCTCCCTCCTCCACGGAGAGCTGCAGCTGTGCTGCCTGGGGCCACATTACTCATTTTAATCCTCAATTGCACATACACTGATGCTGTCTGTGTGCCTGGATTTCATCACATCACAAAATATGTGGAACCCACATCTTTCATCTTTCTTGCCTGCTTATCCAAAGGAAAACCACTAGCGTGTTAAGCAACTAGACAAATTGTCCTGTTATCTGTGTTCTTAGAACAGTGTCTTGACTAGAGGCAGCCCTACTGTCTCTCACGGGTAAGAATTCAGAATAAACATCATCATTCTTTGAAATCACTCATAAGCAGTCCCCAGGAGACTGCAATTATACCTGTTTATAATTCTCCTCCCTCCCAAACTAACCCTTGATTCATAAATGTGCACTTTTAGGCGTCAGGCGTTAGAATAAATTAGACTATACAATTATGTGTAATTAAAGGGGAACATGGGTACCGTGCTGCAAAGATTAACCGTGTTTTGCTGAAGTAAAGCATGTCTGTGTCAGTGTGCTGGCCCAGGGAGGCAGCAGGAAATACAATTAATGTTCTTCTTACTTAATGGGGCTTTCTGGTAGTGTTTTTCATTATCACAGTATCTCAAGAAATATAAACAGTTTTTCTGTAATACCATCCCATTTCTACCAACAACACAGCTTGGGTCTAAGTGAAAATTCAGCAGAATTAGCCACAGATTTATATTGTGAGGGATGATCCTGGAATTCGTATTTTAAAACCCATGCAAAACTGTCTGCACTCAGGAGCTGAGAAGTTGGATCTCAGCCTCCTGAGAGTAGCTCTGCAGCCTCTTCTGCTCTTGTAGAAGCAACTTACAGCCCAACTTGTGCACGTTATTAAAGCCACCTGTGCTCCGGCTCGAGGGCTCGCATTCCCAAGCCTCCCGTCTGCAGCCATGTTCCTGCTTCTAACGTTTCTCTTTTACACACCAATTTGTTTGAGACATGTTAAAAGCTTGACTTTTACAACCCTCATAAAATCCCATCGACTCCAACCCAAATCCAGCCAGAAGTGCTCGGACAATCAGATTGAGTTTCAGCCTCTTGATGGAGATAAAGAAACACAGAGCAAGAATGATTTTTGTTTAATTGTTGCGTATGAGTCAAGGGAAGAAAATAGCAACCGTGGCTTTGCAAGGGAGATAGAGTCGGACAGTGTTCCGCACAAAAGGACTGCCAAGGAATTTGCAGAGGGAAGAAACGAGGCATGGCGGCGTCAAGAGAAAGGTCCCCCTGAGGTTAAATCAACAATGCGGGGGAGGACGGGGTGGTGTGAGGAGCTTGAAAAGCTGGATTGTCCAGCTAGGATGGTCAGGACCATACCAAGCGATGTCATGGGGGGTGACGGATTCGGGAGGAGAAAAGCTGTCCCGGTGTGAGTGAAGGCGGCAGGGGCTGGAGTATCAGGAGGCCATGGGGGTGCCCAGTATTCTGCTGAGCCCCACTGAGGGACATGTGAGTCCCCGAGGCCCCTCACATCTCCCAGACAGACACCAAGCTCCAGAATGGGGACTGCAGTCCTCACCTGCCTGGAAGGACCTGGAAAACAGGCTGAGGCCTTGAACCCAGAGGACCAGGGAATTTGTTGGAAATTATGGGGGAAAAAAGACATGGCCAGAGGAGCTTTGCAGACCCTCTGACCTCATGGGTGTCTGAGCCAGTGAGTTAAGTCCAGACTAAAACACGTGACCCACAGCAGCTGCCTACGATGACCACACACACACACATACGTGCTCGGACACACAAGATCTGTCCCCGTCTACTTAAGGAAGGATAAGGTCTTTGAACAGCAACAATGGCAACAGAACATATCCAAAAAGATAAGCAAATGCCACATGTCAGGCCCGCAGCCCCAGAAGAAGGGATTGTAAGCTTCCCCTCCGTGACTGGGGTTACCTGATGAGCAGAGAAGGATGGAGGGAAACATTGTGGGCAGGAGAGCCATGTTCATGAACTCAAGGCCTGAAGGGCACTGTGCAGTAATGCAGTGGTTTTTTAAAACTTTTTTTTGCAGTGGAAATTTACCCACCCCTGAAATATTCTCCAGAACCCAACATAAAAAGTAGGAAACAGGCAGATCCCATTCCTGGGCCTCCCTCCTCCACTCCAGGCCTCAGAGGCACCCCCAAAGGGCGCTGAGGACCCAGTAAGAAAATTGCTTCTGCAGTGGGGTACATGTCCCAGAACCAGGGACAGCCTCAAGTGGGTTGAAATCCTACTGGCCAAATGGTTGACTATAGACAAGTCCGTTTCTCTGAGCATCAGTGTTCTTGAAAGATTGTCAGGAGGGTGACATGAGATGACCTGGTGGAAATGGCCACTGACCACTGAACCTACCAGAGTTGCATTGTCCAGCATGGGAACCCTGAGCCACACGTGGCTGATCCAAACTGAGATGAGATGTGCCATCAGTGTAGAATGTACACTGGGTTACAAAACTTACGAAGAAAAAATTCTAAAAAGATCTCACTAAAAGTTTTATATTGATTACACATTGAGAACAATTTTGGATATACTAGGTCAAGTAAATGATAAATATTAAAATTAATTTCACCTTTCTTTTCAGGCAGGATCTCACTAGTGTCACCCAGGTTGGAGCACAGTGGAAGTCATGGCTCACTGAAGCCTTGACCTCCCAGACTCAAGTGATTCTCCCACCTGAGCCTCCTGAGTATTTGGGACCACAGGTGCATGCCACTACACCCAGCTTAATTTTTGTATTTCTTGTGAAAATGGAGTTTTCACCATGTTGCCCATGCTGGTCTCGAACTCCTGAGCTCAAGCAATCCACCCACCTTGGCCTTCCAAAGTGCTGGGATCACAGCTCCAGCGACGGTGCCTGGCCCTCATCTGTTTCTTTTTACTTTCTAATGCCACTACTAGAAAATTCTAAATGATACATGTGTCCTTCTGCAGAGATGAGGCAGAAGGAGAGAGCTGTCCGTTATTTTTTGGTCTATGATAGTGAAGCCTGATATTCTGTCCCAAGGCAAAGACGGTGGGAACTGATCAGCCTTCTCAGTGATACCAAAGGTAGGGCCAGCACTGGATTTGGAAAAGCAAGTTCAAGGTGTTTCTGATTTATTTATTTAGCCTCTAACTTGATTGAGGTGGCTAATCGAGGTTACGGGGAGGAGCCTAGAGCCCTAAACCCAGTCAGGAGATCCGATTTGAATCTCAGATTAAAACATGAAGACTTTTTCAGTATTAAGTTCCTCCTCGTGGCTGTCTGTATTTATTTGTTAAGTCTGACAACTCTAGCATGGAAGATCACACCAGAGAAAGGAGACGCTGGGTTAAAAAGTAAAAACATCCTTGGATTTAAGAGCATGAGCCTGTAGCTAAGGCTTCTTGGGTTCACAGGATCCACCACTTACAATTGTGTGATCTTCAGTTAATCTCTCCTGGTTTCCATGGTAAAACGGGCCGAGTAACTTACCGTGTGAGATTGTCATAAGGTTTAATAAGTGACTGCTGCTTACAAGTGCTTTCCTACGGCAGCGTCTGTTTCCCCTTAGCAGCTCGGCCGTGTTTTCTGCAGCTGCTTTTGGGTTCTCTGTCCGCTCTTTGCCTACTCGCGTCAGGCCGGGCCCCACTCCGGCCTCTTCTGTGGCGCAAGGGACCTCGAAAACCGCGGTAGACAGCACCCTCTTGAGTCGAATTCCTCCCCTTTCGGAGGAACCCGGTTTCTCCTTTCTTTGCTACTCCCGGGCCGTTTCTGGGCAACGGCTGCTATTTTCACTCGAGCCCAAGTTAATTTTTCGGGGAGCTCCGGGGCACGCACTGGCAGCTCCGTTCGCCCTGCGACTGAGCTGCGGGTCGCGGCCGGCGCCGGCCTCTCCGACGGCCAATGTGTGTGGCTGGAGGCGAGCGCGAGGCTTTCAGCAAAGGCAGTCGAGTGTTTGCAGACCGGAGCGAGTCCTGTGAAAGCAGATAAAAGAAAACATTTATTAACGTGTCATTACGAGGGAAGCGCCCGGCCGAGGCTGTCGCACGCCCCGCGGAACACTTGGCTCCCTCCAGCTCCGAGAGAGAGGAAGAAAGCAGAAAAGAGGCAGATTCACTTCGTTTCCAGCCAAGTGGACCGGATCGATGGCCCTCCTGAATGTATCACTATATTTGATTTATTAGAGATGCCCCCTGGTGTGTGTGTTACACACACACATACACACACCCCCTCGCGCACACACGCTCTGGCTCGGGTCCCTCCCTCCTTTCCAGCTCCTGGGCGAATCCCACATCTGTTTCAACTCTCCGCCGAGGGCGAGCGGGAGCGAGTGTGTGTCGGGTGAGTGTGCGTCTGTGTCCCAGCGAGGGTGCGCGCTCGGCGCCGGGAGCGCGGCCAGCCGGGTCTGGAGGCATCGGGAGGCCGAGAGCCGCCGGGACCCCAGCTCTGCCTCCACTGCCCCGTCCCGAGCTGGACTTCGGGGCCGGGGCCGTGCGCCACGGACGGGCAGGACCGGGTCGCGGGCCGCGCGTCCCCCGAGCCGGAGGTAAAAGCGATCTCGCGCGGAGGGCGCGAGAAGGGCTCCGCGGCTGGGCCCCCGCGCCCGGGGCCCCCGCAGTCCGCGGCTCCCGACCCGACGCTCCCAGCCCCGGCGCGCGCCTGCCTCCCCTGCGAGGAGGCCGGCGGCCAGCAGGCGGGCGGGCCGCGCGGTGCCAAAGGGCTGGCTGGGGCCGCGCGGCCAGCCGGGCTGGGGCGATTTCAGAGCGGCCAGGGCGGGGCTGGGAGCCGGACTTTGGCTAGGGCGGCGCGCGGGGCGGGGGCCGGGGGCGGCGGCGGCGGCGCTGGGGGGCGGGGAAGAGGGAGGAGGAGGAGCAGCCGCGCTCGCCGGGGGATGCAGCGGCGGCGGCGGCGGCGGCGGCGGCTGTAGCGGCGGCAGCAGCAGCGGCGGCGCGGAGTCCCCTGCGCCCCGCGGCGCGGCCAGGCTGCGGCAGAGGCGGAGGCGCCCAGCGCCGGGTGAGGCTGCCGGGGCAGTGCGCGCTGGTGAGTGGGGCACGGGGGCAGATGGGCTGCGAGGGGGCTCGGGGCTCGGGCTGGGGCTCCCGGTGGCCGAAGCCTTCCCCGGCGTGAGCCCGGCCGCGAGCGCCGCGCAGGTAAGCTGGGGCAGGTCCCGACCGCCAGGCACCGGCCCCAGCGCTGCGCGCGGAGGTGGGACCGGGCGGGCAAGAGGGAGGCTCCGGCGCCGGTCGGCCGCAGGGGGATGACCTGTTTGACCCCGCTGGCGGGCTGGGCGGGAGGGCGAGGACTTCCCGCCGCGTCCCTGACCCGCGGACGCGCCACACCGAGCCCGAGCAGCCCCGGGGAAAACGCGCCTGGGCCCGCCGTCCGCAGGGGCATGGCCTTGTTGACCCTTTGGGTTTAGACCCAAGGGACGGGCTAGAAGCCAGCACACGTGGGGCTTGTCCGGGCAGGACTCGGGGAAGCCGTGGCCCGGATCTTCAGAGTCACTGGAAACTCGCAGACACCGAAAGGACAAATAGGATCGAAAAGGCAGACTTCCTGCCAGGCCAGGGCAGAACCAGTTTCCATCGCGCGGCGGAGAGATGCTCCCCTCCCCAGCTCCCCCGGGCTTCCGAAGTCTAGCGGTGAATTCTAGGAGTGCACTTTTCCAAACAAACAGCCCTTATAGTAGTTCGTTCATTCGTTCTACAAGCATTTCTGGAGCACCCCCTCGTGCCAGGCACCGCGTTCTGTTCCAGGGAAACGCGGCTCAACAGGATCTGGTTCCTGCGCGCCAGAAGCTGCCGGTTCACTTGGAGGGCAGCAGGGTAGAGAGATGCCGTCTCAGGGTGGAATGTGGAAAGAGAAGCCTGCAATCCTGGTTTGCACAGTGGCCCCGGTCCGCAACTCCCCCCACTTGCCCAGAGGCCGAGGACCACGCCCCCTGCACGCAGTAGGCCCAGCACACAGTAGGAAGAGCAAGCCAGACCTGCCTGTGACAACCCGCTCCTCTTCCTCCTCCCCCTTCTTGAAAGCCGTGATTCATTCCCTACCCCCCCTTTCTGGACAGTCTTCCTGCAGCTTGTTTTAATCACTTTTTGAGTTAAAAGTCAATATTTAATTAACCAAGTAATTACATTCAGCTTACGTTTCAATCTGGGTATTTGCTCATCTGTGCGTGTTAGGACCCCCGCCCTCTCGCCCCTCCATCTGTCCCCTGCCTCTTTCCCACAGGCCCCCCCCCCACTTTGGGGCAGAGATGGGGAGGCTGCGCTGGAGCAGGTCCTCAGGGGGAGACAGGGAGCAGGTGAGACGGGCTTTCTCTGGAGGACACCCCCGGATCTGCCATCTCTCCGGATTTCAGCTTGTAGTGAATAGTGAAGGGGATTTCTTTACTAAGCCTCCGCCCCCGTTACGGAACCACCAGAGGTTTCTAATTAAATTAGAGCCAATCGTTAAATATAGGAAGGGGGGTGCGGAGGACAGAATGAAGGCCCTTTCCCTGTAAGAGATGTTCTCCCCAGCTTTGTCTGTCCCACATCATAGAGAAGAGAAAACTCAGCCAGACAGCCTGTCGGGTGTGTAATTTAGCGTTCTAATAAGCAGCTTGAAAGGCGAAGGTGGTGGGCTTGGCGGACGTGCCTTGGACCTTTGTACACCGAGGTCTCTTCCTTCCCCGGCCAAGTTTATGTACATAAAAGCCATGATGTTGGCATCACTGCTGCAGCTGTGGGTCAGTGTGGCTTTGGGGTTTGAGCTTTGTGTGTACTTCTTGGGTTTTTTATTTGAATTTATGGCTTTTTCTGAAACCCTAATAACATGTTAAATTTTCAACCTTGAGAGTAGAATGATGAGTTGATTGTAAAAGCCTGGGCTTGGAGGAGGACAGCGTAGCAGTGCTCGCGCCCGTACTCATGTGCACGCTCGTAGATCAGCAGCTGTCCAAAGGACCGAGTTGATCGGCGGTTTCACACCTGATTTGGGAGATAACATTTCCTGCTCCCTTTTTCTGGCACTGGTTTACCTGCCTGGACCTGCCTCAAGAGGGCAGTTGGGTTAACCGGGGAAGATATCACCCAACTCTGTTAAGCTGTTGGCTATTATCTGATCTTAGACTTGAGTCCTGCAGAAGGCATCCAGAAGCCCTGTCCTACATAAGAATATCAGCACTTCTGACCAGCTTTTAGTTAACAGGTTGATTCCAGACTTAAGATAATTGATAACACTTAAGTCGTTTTGTACAGGCCTGATCTGAGTCGTTGATCTAAGCCCATCTACCTCACTCATTAAATCCACACGAACGACTTAAGAGGTAAGTACTGCAGTTGTTGCCATATTAAAAATGATGCCGTGGCTCACGCTTATAATCCCAGCACTTTGAGGGGGGCCGAGGCAGGCGGATCACAAAGTCAGGAGTTTGAGACCAGCCTGTCCAGTATGGTGAAATCCCGTTTCTACTAAAAAATACAAAAATTAGCTGGGTATGGTGGTGCACTCCTGTAGTCCCAGCTACTCTGGAGGCTGAGGCTGGAGAATCGCTTGAACCCGGGAGAAGGAGGGTGCAGTGAGCCGAGATGGTGCCACCACACTCCAGCTTGGGTGATAGAGTAAGACTCTGTCTGAAAAGAAAAGAAAAGAAAAAAAAAAGCAAAGTGTGGCACAGAGAGGATTGTGACTTGCCTACAGGTGGTCACAGGTAGAGCGGGAATTCAAGAGGCCCTCAAGCTCCAGGGTCCACTTGGAACCACTGGGCTGTCCGCCATGACCTTGGCTTTTGTCCCGGATGTAGAAGAAACACACACTCAGGGGAAGAAAACACCTCAGACAGTAAAACTTTGCAAAGTAGAAGCCCCACAACTTTCCATAAACCTCACTGTTTGGACGGAGAGTCCCCGGTTTGTATTTGGGGTTTTTTGCCCCGAGGAAAACATGCACCTGCCTGGTGCTTTTCCTTCTGCTTGTGAGCAGACACACACTCCACTCCCCCCACTCCCAGTCAGATGCAAAGGGAAACATCAAATGCAACTGATAGAAAAGCCAGGGGATCTGAGATGATGATTTCAGCCCACTCAGAGCACAATGGCCAGAGGGCAAAAGCTCTCCTAGAGGTGAGACCTTCCTGTGGTTGGTGATGGAGTCGCGCTGGCTTGGCCTCGGAAAGGTAGCCATGGGGGTGGTGCCAGGGTGCTCTGTGTCAAGCCTGGGTCTGTGTGGATGTGGAAGATGGGGACCTCTCAATGCTGACCTGCCGGTGAGGGAGCCCTCCCTGAGACCTGCTTTCCGTGGGTCTCCTTGGAATGGGCCTTGGTGGAGATTCTGCAGACACCCCTGGCCCAGCCGGATTGAAGGCGCTGTCTAATTGGAAGAGCATTAAGATCATTATAATTAATTGGCATCCCGATAAATGGCATGGTTGCCTAATTGAGGTAGTTGCTAGGGAACGAGGCCTCACTGGGAGCCTAAAGGGGAAGAGGCACTGGGCCGGCCACAGTTGTGTGTCAGGGTACAGAGAGGCGGTGAATGGGCAGGAAGGGAGCACAGTCCATCCGTGTCTGCTCGCGTTCACCGAGCAGCGGCTGTGTGCAAGCTGCAAATGGAATATCAGTTAGGGGTACTTGCCTAGAAGGACTGGAAAGTAATCAGGCTCCTTTCTCTTGCAAGCAACAGACAAAGAGAAGAAAAAAAACTCAAGCCAGCTTAAGGAGAAAAGAAAGGGACTTCACTGGTTTTCATAACCAAAAGTCCTAAGGTGACTAACTGTAGCTTCAGACACAGCTGGATCTGCGGCTCAGATTTTGTCATGAAAATCCATTCCTCTCCACCTCTACTCTGCCTTCCGTGGGGCTGGTGTCTCTCTCCAGCTCTGGGGCAGGCAGGCCCTGGCAGCTGTGGGCACCGTGGCTAGGAGAGCCAGACTGCCTGGCTCCCTGCCCAGCAGTGGGATCTGGGGCGGGCTGCCTAACCTTTCTGTGCCTTGATGTTCTCATCCAACAAATGACGATGATCATAGCACCTGTCTCCCGCTCGTGGGAAGGCATGAAATTAGATGATCAATGTCAAGGGCTTAGCAGGGCGTCTGACCCAGGCAAACCTTCAGTAAGCATCGACTGTTGTCGTAACTTAGGTTTCAGGCCTGTAATCCCAGCACTTTGGGAGGCTGAGGTGGGTAGATCACCTGAGGTCGGAAGTTCGAGACCACCCTGACCAACATGAAGAAACCCTGTCTCTACTAAAAATACAAAATTAGCTGGGTGTGGTGGTGGATGTCTGTAATCCCAGCGACTCGAGATGCTGAGGCAGGAGAATCTCTTGAACTCGGAAGGTGGAGGTTGTGGTGAGCTGAGACGGCGCCACTGCACTCCAACCTGGGCAACTAGGGCAAAACTCTGTCTCTAAAGAAACAATATAAAATAACTTAGGTGTCAGGACAGGTGTCACGGAGCAGAGGGGTCTCATCCCCTCCAGTTTAAGCCCAAAAGGAAAGAACAAGCCTCTGGTCTGGTAATGCCCACCTGAGCCCCATGGTTCCCTCTGACTGGACTGTTTTAG